CAAGCTTTGGAATAAATATATATCTGGCAAGACTGAAAGACAGGACTTTAGCAAGCACTGCAGGCTAACTGCAGTTCCACAGTGGACTATCTGCTTCCTCTTCCAGAGATAAATCAAAAGGAGAGGGAAGCACCAGCCGAAGTACTTATCCTGATTAACTTGCGGTGGGAGTAAAAAGGTTTTAGCATGTTAGGTAGATCAACATTCAAACAGAACCAAGAACTGGAGAATCCAAAAGCACATTCCTGGTTTACCTTGTTAATTAGTTGCTTTTCCATTTCCAAATTTTCTCCCATCTGCAGCTCTGATGTCTCCCAGCAAACCCACATTACCATAGCCTGGTCTGGTTGATTATTAGGTACACTTGGTCTCCCAGCTTAGTGGAGCCTAACTACGCAGAACATTTTGCTCATCCATAAACCAGCATCTCTTCTACACAGAACTATGCCTTATTCAAGATATTTACATGGGAAATAACAGGATTTCCCAAGACTGACAGATGTGGTACCCAAGTAGCCAGAAACAAACACGCACCACGTGGCCTGATCACTCATCATAACCAAGTTGCTTCATGTTCAGAAAGAGAAATGGTGCAAGTGGGATTACAGGCTCATCCCAATGGCATCCTGGAGTATAAACCAGCTCAAGATGATCAGCCCCAACCCAGGCACACAGACACGATGCTCATCAAAATACTACCTAGAGAAAAACCTGGCTACTTATTAAGCAGAGTTTATATTGAAGAAGAGGAAGAGACACACACATTTAGCTTTTTGTGTGGATGGAAACACATCTTGGTAAAGAAAATCCATGAAGATGGTGTGCTCAATGCACTACTTTGTTATATGACTCTAACTGCACAGCAGCTTATGTATTTTTTGCTGATTTATTATGAAGCATGAACCAACAAACAGCAACTGTTGTCTCCAAATGTTTGCCCAAGGCCAAAACTGACACAAGAAAGGGCTTTGCAGGTGGAAGTATCAAAATCTGTGTACCCACAGGTACAGAACTGATTAAAAGGCATGCAAAAAGACAGCTCATTTCTAAGAGGTGTTTTTACTTAGAAAGTACAAATTAAGATGTATACATACTTTGTTGAAGTTTCTCTAAATGGAACTAATCTAGAGACATGTCTAAATATGGACCAACTTTAATTTTCCATTAACGAACAAGTTTGTTAATGATTATTTTATGCAACTTTTAGTTTAGTAAGTGCTAAACAATGTTTTAGAGCAGAAATACGCAAGTACCTGAGGCAAAGTAGAGGACTTCATTTCTTATTTTTCCGTAGAGAAATTGTGCACTTATCTAACTTGTCAAATCACATTATTTGACAGAGCAAAAAGTGACCTCACTATTATCTCAGGTCTTGTTACTTCTGATGATTTTCTTTAGTTAAACTTATGATTTCTGTAACTATTACCTCCTATATACTCTGGAACTCTCCTTAAATTTTGGTTTGATTTTCTTTTTTCCTTGTGACAGCTCATTATTTAGTAGCTATTAGATGAGAGACTCATTCTTCATTTATTTGACTTTCATTATTCCATGTTAAAAGCCCAAAGATACTTGGTAATACCTAACTACAGATATTTTAATAAGAGGTTACAAACCTTAATGCTGTACTTTCTAGCAACTACATTTCTGCATGGCACATATATCTCATTCCCTGGTTTATCTGCCAGTTCTCAGTCACTGTCATTTTAAGCCAAAGAGCATGAAACAGCATTTAGATAGTATCTTAGTTGAATTGCTTCATTGAGCTCCAAGCCTTTTGTGCTGGCTTTGCCTTAGATAGATTTAATTTTCTTCATAGTATCTAGTGTGGGGCTATGATCTGGATTTCTGCTGGAAGCTGTTGACAATACAAAGATGCTTTCTTTACTGCTCAGCAGGGCTTACCCAAAGTCAAGGCCTTTTCTGCTCCTGGCCTCACACCTCCGGTGAAGAGGCTGGGGGAGCACAAGAAGCTGAGGGGACACAGCTGGGACAGCTGATCTCAACTGACCCAAGGGATATCCCAGACTACACGGCATCATGCTGAGCATACAAACCAGGGGGAAGAAGAGGAAAGGGGGAAATGCCTGGAGTGATGGTGTTTGTCTTCCCAAGTCACCGTGACACATGATGGAGTCTTCTTGTGCTGGGGATGGCTGAACTGACTGACCATGGGAAGTGCTGAAGGAGTTCCTTGTTCTACTTCGCTTGTGCAGGGCTTTTGCTTTACCTGTTAAACTGCCTTTTTCTCAACCCATGAGTTTCCTCGCTTTTACCCTTTTGATTCTCTTCCCATCCCATCACAGGGGAGTGAGTGAGTGAGTGGCTGCATGGGCCTCAGTTGCTGGCTGGGGTTAATCCATGACATTCTTTTTGGTGCCCAACCTGGGGTCTAAAGGGTAATGAGAGCATTTGGATTATTTTTCTTCAAGGGTCTAAATTTTAGACAGAAACTAATATTACCAACACACTGCCAGGAACCTTTACAAATGGGGTGCCTTCAGAGTCCCCCACAATGTAGCTGCATTCTGCCTTTGTTAAGCTGTCTCTTTCCATTTACACTCCAAATTTGAACTGTGTGGATGTGTACTGTCTTTAATCACACAGCGATTGTGTGCATGAGGCACTAGACACTGTTAAAGTTTGAAGGGCAATCCCTGAAGACACAGTTTGTTATTTCTACTGCCTGGCTATTGTTCCTTGCCCAGTTCAGTATTTTTGCTGCTGCCACATAGAAGAGTTTTCTGTACAGCTTTTCAATGGGCTCAGCCCCTGCCAACTCGCTCCTTCTAGCTCTGTGTTTTCATGTTGACTTGGATGTGAGTACTCATCTACTTACAGGAGTCTTACTACCGCTTTTATTTGTGCCAGCAAAGAGTTTTTGCTGTTTCAGCTCCCAGCCTTCCTCCCTGACAAACACACAAACTGTCTTCAAAGAAAGAAAGAAAACTGTTGAGAGAAGAGCCAGTGTTTTGCTCCTCAAGTGAATCCTAGAAAACAAAGATCAGGAAAAATGTCCGGTTAGTCACTATATAAAGAAAAAAGTTGCATCAGCTCTTCTCTGACCTTTCTTCATTAGCACTTCAGGAATTCACCTTGTTCAATGTGGCAAGTCTTCCCAATTAGAGATCAGGGCTCCAAAAGGGACTGTATGTGAAGTTGTGGTTTTTCTTATGACCTGGCTCAAGTGCTGCAGCCACTGGGTAGAACACCTCCATACAGCAGCTGCAGAATTCTCCATATCATCCTGGAGCTGGTAACAAGAGCTGGGCATGAGACCTCTGGCTTAAGAGTAAGTCTTCTGGCAGAGTTGTGGATCCCAGTAAAATCAAGACACAGGATTTTCCTCATCACTGGGGTGGGTTTCGGCCAAGTATGTAGTTTGGGTCCACAGTCAGTGCTCATGCCAGTGCAGGAGCAGTTAGCACAGGTCTGGTTATTTTGATCTTGTCTCCCTTGTGACTTCCAAAACATTGGTGTTTGGATTCCAAACATAATCCAGCTTTATAAATATTATTATCCCTTTCTTTGGGTAACAATACTCCACTTCCACTCTGAGCTCCTGCATACTGACCATACTTAATAATCCCATGACTACTTCAGCAAATAAGCCTCAAATCCTTAAACTGAAAAGCAACTCTGAGAACAGAGATCACATCAATCCAGTTCCAGTGTTGTGTTACTTGCAACTACAGGACTAGGTCCATTGCAGAGAGACTGATGAGAACCTGAGCATGAATGTGTGTTCATAACATGATTTTTAGCAGGTAATTGGCTCCTTCATGAAATGCTTCCCTCTTTGGGCTCTGCTAACAGCTGCTTATGCAGAAAGTTAGGAGAGATTAAAAACAGACACAATGAAAAAGAAACCCAAAAAAGCCTCTTTGTTTTGGATGGAAGATGTTCTTTTTCTCTGGAAAAGGCACTTTCCTACCAATTATAAACCAGACCAATTTACTGAGTTAAAGGCTTCTACATTTGGCCATGTGCATTTTCCTTTAGAAATGCAGCAATGATCAACCCAACATGAAAGGCAGACAGACGTGTGACTGCCACTGCCCACTTCAGGTGGAAATTCTCTTTTATTAGAAACTGCAGAGCGTGTGGGTGGGCAGGAGGGAGCAGGGCGGAGAGGTTCAGGCCCTGCCTGTCATTCCTTGGCATGACCACAATGCTGCAATCGCTGGAATGCAGCTGGACTGAGAGGATGAGGAATGCCCTTGCCTCCCTTGGGGAAATCAGTCTGATGATGCCAGGAGCTGTGATTTGTCTCTCCAGGAATGCTGCCACCTGCAGCAATTAAACCTCCTCTCTAATACGATTGAAACAAGAGGATGTATTTTTCTCTAGAAACTCTGATCATAGTTTCATCTAGTTTTCTCTGACAGGCAAGAGATGAGCGCAATGAGGAGTCCTCAAAGTGGGGTTTTGTGGCTGCTCTGAAAGCAGGTGAAGGATGCTGTGCATTGCTTGACAAAATTAAGTGAGCAACTGACAACTCCATCATGAGCTCCCCAGTCATACCCATCAGCTGGTGTTATAGGAGCTGAATCTGTGTCTAATCTTTATCCTATCATCCACCTTCACTGCCTTTGTTGGGCAGGAAACTCAACATATGCATAAACCCACTGATGGATGCATTTGTCATTCCACAAGCAGACTTGCCAACAAACCCCAATGACTTCTGTTAGATATCAGAAGACCACAGTATAGCCATGGATTCTTTTTCTTCCCAAGTGTTTTTCAAAGCCTTGTAAAGTTTCATTATGGTCTCTCTCACAACAAAGCCCTTATGTCAACAGAAGCTCTTTGCTTTTCACCTGGTATTTTTTATGAATCAAATGAATCACAGAATAGCAGCTTTCACAGTTAAGAAAACAGTTACACAGCTCACACTTCACCCACAAAAGGTCAGATAATGCAACATGCTGTATGTTAAGTATACACAAGAGGGATACACTCCCCTTGAGCACACTGCAATGCCTTTGCAAAGATCTTACCTGTTCAGTGATAAAGGAGCTTGAAAAAGTGACAGCTGACCAGAAGAAGATGCCACAGCTGAGAATGATCTTTCTGTTGAAACGGTCCCCAAGGTAGCCAAAGATAGGGGCTGCAACCATGAAACTGCAGATGAAAACTGCAAAGGAGGAAAGAAACGTTTAATAAACATCAGGCCAAGAACATGAAAACTAATTTTCTGCAAGCCAAATCCCCTAGAGAGCAGTTCCATTTAATCAGACATTCTGCAGCCCTGACTTACAAAGCGGCACATTCTGAAAGGCTTTCAGAAGTCAGTGCCACTGAACTCGTATTACATTTGAAAGCACCAGCCCTCAAAGTCCACTGTGAGCTCAGATGGTCAAAACCACGACAGAATATATTAAGAGCTTTTGCCTAAATGTCACTGAGAAGGTGAAGTAGAGGTTGGAAGGAGTTTCAAGCAAACAGAAAGCAAGGCAAGGGCTCCTTGCTGGCTATGGCAGCAGAGACCAGACAGATCCAGGGCACAGAAACTGAAGTGCTTTCATCCTTCCTAGCAGTATTTTAAGGCAGCCATAAAACAGTGAGGGAAAACCAGTAAACACTGATAACTGCCCTACTGGCACCAGCCCTGTAGTTAGACAACTCCTGCCTCCTTGTTAGATCCATTCACCAGCACTGAACTTGTATTTAAACCCACCTCACTAAAAGAAAGAGTTTTAACCTACAAAGCCCTAACAGGCCAGGAACATCCTTAGCTGAAAGTCTACAAATTCACCTTTTCCACTTGCTTCGCCCCCAAAATCCCAAAGCTTTAACCCAAGACCTTCTGTCATATAGGGATGAGGCTCTTGGCAGAATAAACTCTCTGAAATCTCTTAAGCTTCGGAGTTCACTCCTTCAGCCTAGCCCAGAAGAATCTGGCTAGTGACACCACTGAAATCACCTGAAACGAGGCACTCACACCATATTCATGATTAATTTGGAACTTGGCAGAAGCTGCCAGGCATTCAGCTAATTTATACCTGGCTTTGACTGCACATAAGAGATTTTGATGAGAGCAACTACATTGATTTTACTGCCGTGTCGTAGGAGCTTTTTGACTTCTACTTCTTTGGTTCAGCAAATGCAGAGGGATTTGGGGGGGGACACCAGAGTACCTGGAGATCCCTCTTCAGTCACAGACTTATGACTGTAGTTATGAGGTGCTCTTGGTGGGCTTTTAGCATTGTCTAACCCCAACCTTCTACTTTTAATTGTGTAAAAGGGATGAGAGGAATAGAATGGGAATGAAAAGGCAAGAGCAGAGGACACACACCCCTTTGGTTGGAATGCATGCATAAAATTAAGGTGATTAAGAACCAGATTATTAATTTTTCATGGGTGATGATATACAATAGCTCAAAAATATGCTGAAAGAATGCTGAACTATGAAATTCTCTAAATGCCTCTTCTTTTTTAGTACATTAAGATGTGAAAGCTGCTCTGTAAATAATACATACCCATTTGCATCTGTATTTTGTGAGCCATATGACTGTTTGTATATCAATTTTTCACTGTGATATTTGACTGGAATTACAGATTTGCTCCTTTTCCATTGTGAGTAAAATAAATAGAGACAATACAAAAGCGTTGAGACATGAAAAGAAACACATACAACATTATAGCACACATATTTCAATACAAATGCCATGAACAATGTGGTTTTATGCTGGCACATAAACTGTATTGATAGAACACTCAGTCCCTGCATCTATCTCCTAATCCTTGCTCAAACAAAACCTGTTGAGTAAATCTATGAGCATTTACCCAGTGTTTTCATCTCGTGTTTTACAGAGAAACTACTCAGCTACCCCAAGACCCCACTTAGCACTCTGTCACCAAGAAACCAGCCCCATGTCTATGGAGTTCATCTCATTTAGAAAGACCTCGTGCTCACCCACTCCAGCAGCACAGTCCAGCTCCCTTCACCTGGTGAACTTGGCTCTAGTAGTCCAGGAATGCTTCACAAATCTCTGCTCTGCAAAGGTACATCTCCCCTGGCCCCAGTCCAACAAGGCACTTCAGCACATGCTTACACCAAGCTCATCAATTCCATGATTAAGTGCTTTCCTGAACTAACACCCAAGTGCTTAGCACCTTGCAGATCTGGTGCAGCAACCTGGCAAAGGATACGTGACTGTGGATTGGGAATGAGAAGCGGAAAATGACTGACTCGTACAGAGCAGAGTGTCCATTGCAATTTGACCTTACCCTTGGAAGGACACTGAAATCCATTCATCTCAGAATCAGATATTCTGCCATTTTTATGATGTAAAAAGACATGAAGCCAAAAAAGCTTCTGAGTGAAAATTAGAACCATCCAAGTCAGCATGCCACGATTTCAAATGCCAAATAACCTGACTAATTCAACTCTGAGACATGGAGGGGGTGATCCAAAATTCACATCAATTATCAGCTTCAGCCACCTCTGGATCACAAGCACAAAGTCTCATTTTGGAACATGGGCAAAAGCAAGCAAAAAGCACAAACCTCTTCTTCCCAATAAAACAAACCAAGAAGAGACAGTCCAGTGCCTTTCCAACAACATACATCCTGCTGGTACTCAAATCCCTTTGGAGAATTTATTTTTGGAAGCTTCTGAACGGAGCTGCGTGCTTTGTCACTGGTAAGGAGCTGACTTGACAGCTCCACAAGGTGTAAAATGAAAGGACAGCAAAACCTAATAAATAATAGGTAATGGAACACAGCTGTCATTGTAATAAATGCAATTTATATCAGAGTATTTATGACCCAAATATGCATCAGAGCATGGAGTGACTCAAATAAATGCAGAATATGATGGCTGTGTTGGTCTGTCAAAAGGATCTGCCTGTTACAGGCATTTCCCATGAATCAGTTTTGACAATTACTCCTGCAAATGATGGACGAGACTCCTGAGCACCAGACTGGGTTGGGAGAACAGATGTGAATGAATCTAGGGCACGTTACCAGGTAGGATGTAAACTCAGTTCCTCTAGTTGAGGTTCTGCTCAACTAAACACCACAAAGAAGAGATCTCATCCAGAAGACAGAACGCTGCCAGCATATTCAGTTGGAGAGGGGCAGCAGGATCAGGATTGATCTGTAGAGGAAGACAGCTGAAGCATAAGGCAGAGGGATGCATTTCAGGAACAGAGCCTGCGCACTTATGCCAGTCTCCTCCACAGCATTTCTGCTCCTTGCACTCACTCAGTTAATACTCAAGTGACACCCCAGCAGCTGCTGCTTCAGCTCAGCCCACTGCCACAAATCTTTTCTATTAGGAGAGCATGTGACAGAGGCTGGCATTTCATTTGCCTCTTCCCAATCAACAGCTCCTCTTTCCATTTACACTTAAAACCACCTCAGCTCTTGAAGAGATGTGCTTTGCAAGCCAGGGCTCAGTTAGAGATCCACTGGGATTTGGGATGGGCTCAAAGCGACTGTGTTTGGAGCAGCTGTGTGCAGGTGTAGCTATGTCAGTCACTACTATATATGCCATACAGCTAACTCCTCTTGCTAAGTGATCTCCAGCAGCGCCAGCAGAAGGTGGCTCAGTCCCAGCATTGGGTGGAGCTGAGATACATTTCTGCAGGAGCAAATTATTATGTGAGCCAAGGATGAATAACAGACACATAATGAATGCCATCCCAGGAGGGAGGTTCTTTTAAGTACAGGTATTTTCAACAGCAGATCCCATTTGTCTTTCTGCCTCCTTTTGTGGCTGAAATGCCGGCTGCGGTGAGAATGCAGGAAGAGTCTAATTGCCCAAACAGGATGGCTGGGTGGCTATTTCTGCCCCGGAATGCCTGTCGCACCCTGTACAGGTGCACAGGCATCCAGCACTGCCCAGCTTTTCCGTGCATGGATGGAATTACAACAATGTGCAGCCTAAAAAAACCCTACAAACCTTATACTTCCCACCTAAACAGCCCCCAGAGCAGGAAAGCATCCTCCTCTGCTGCCCATTTTATGTACCTCCAGTCATCTTTCAGGGACTGTGGCCAGGGAGCTGCTACTCACCTGCTGCTCCTCTCAGGAGCTGTCTGTGTAGCCATGGAACAGTAAACCCCCAGAGACTGGAAGCAAAGGAGATGAGAGAGAAACTGTAGACTTTAAGTCACAAGAAGCTCCTGCCTCCTGGAACCAGACTTCATTGCTCTTACTGTTCTCTTCTTTCCCTGTAAACAAAAATCTACCAGCTTGACTCTACAAGTGTTCCCTGAAGCAGCTCTGACCCATCAGCTTCCCACCCATTGATTCCAAAGACATTGTTCCCTCTGTCTTCACTTGTTCTTTTCTTATGTGGGCTGATCAGCCCTTTCCATCGCCTGCTTCTCCTGTCAGCAGGTCATCCACGTAGTATAAGCAAGAAGAAAGGCATTGACAAAGGCATACACAGAGCTTGAATTTCCTCTGTTACTAGAAGGTTGATAGGACGGCAGGCACCTCCAAGAAAAGATCCTTTCTTTCATTTTTCACTTCAAGTACAGGGTTTATTTTTACCTGACACAAATAATGCTAGAAAGGTTCAGGTTCAGATAAAAATAACTCACTCTCTACACAGGGATGCTCAACAAGAAAAATATAGTGGCTATCTTTGAGCTCTGAGTCAGCATGAAACCACATATACCCGTCTAATTGAATGCTGACAATGTGTTTGGCTCTGTGGAAGGCAAACCGAGACAGCCTCTGCCTCAAGGGACTGGCAATCCACTTAGCCATGGCAAAGAACTATGTGCTGGGAGGTTGTTAATATTTCCCCAACAACAAATTTCCAAACAATGAGAACACCTCAGCACCCAGCCCGCTCTGGATGGGATAATGTATGGGTGTGTACAAGCACAATCCTGCTCTTGCCGCATGAGACACTGCCCTGCTGGGGTGTTGTTGAGCGACTTCTATTCCAGGGACTTTCGGTTGTGGGTATAGGGGTTTCTCAAGCTGCTGATGGGACCAGCTGCCATCTACCTGCAGTGGTGAATAAAGACTCTCCCAATAGCCAATCAGCTCTTCCATTTCAAAGACATGTTTTTGCAATGCTTCTTTATTTCTATTTTCATTATAGTTGTATGTGTTACTAATACTACTCAGCACATACATACACAGCACATTTAATCACAGTGAGGCCTGGGA